ACACAAACTCTTACAACTCAATGATACAAAGAAAACTCAAATTTAAAGTCTATAAAGGAAAGAAAAAAACAGTCTATAAAGGTTTTGAATAGCCCCTTTGTCCAAAACATATATACAAACAGACAATAGGTATACAAAAAGATGCTCAACATTGTCAGGGAAATGCAATAAAAAAACCACAATGAGCTATCACAACTTGCTCACTATGACAGCTATAACTGAAAAGACAAGTGTTGGTATTATGGGAACAAACTGAACTCATGCATTGCGGTTGAGAATATTAATGGTTTACCTACTTTGAATAAGTCTGACATTTCCTCAAAAGGTCCAACAGAGTCACCATGTGACAGAGCAATTCCACGCCTAGGTATATATACCCGAGGACTGAAAATGTCTATACAAACACTTGTACATGAATACCCACAGCAGCATTAGTCATAGTGGCCAAAATGAAGAAACAACGCATCTATTAACATGAAAGGATAAAAACAAAATGTGGCACATATATCTACATGATGTTAACATTATTTAGCAATAAACAGGATGATGTCCCGAAGGTGTGGCTCAGTGGTTGAGCATCGACCCATGCACCAAGAGGTCACTGGTTTGATTCCCAGTCAGGACACATGCCCAGGTTGTGGGCCAAATCCCCAGTGAGGGGCATGCAGGAGGCAGCCAATAGATGTTCTTTCTCACTGATATTTATGTCTCTCTCTCCCTCTCCCTTCCTCTAAAATCAATAAGGAATATTAAAAAAAAGAATGATGTACATATACGCATCAACATGGCTGAACCTTGAAAATACTGTGCTAGGCCCTGGCCAGTTTGGCTCAGCAGTTAGAGCGTCAGCCTGCGGTCCAGAGAGGCCTGGGTTCGGTTCCCGCTAAGGGCACGTACCTCAGTTACAGTTTGTCCCCCGCCCTGGTTGGGTTGTGCGGGAGGAAGCCACTTGATGTGTCCCTTTCATGTCCATGTTTCTGTTTCTCTCTCTCTCTCTCCCCCTCCCTCCCTCTCTCTCTCTCTCTCCCCCTCCTTCCCTTTTTCTCCCCCTCCCTCCCTCCCACTGCCTGAAAAAATAGAAAAATGTCTTTGGGTAAGGATAAAAAAGAAAGAAAAAGAAAATTCTGTGCTAGGTGAAGAGAAGAGTAAAAAGACCACATATGATTTCATCTAAATGAAATGTTCAGAATACACAAAGCTAGAGACAGAAACTAAATTTTCTATTGTTGTTAATCCTCACCCAAAGATATTTTTCCATTAATTCTTAGAGCGGAAGGGAAGGAAGGCAAGAGAAAGAGAGAAACATCAATGTGAGAGAGACACATCCATTGATTGCCTCCTGCAGGCCCTCAATCAGGGCCCAAGATCGAACCTGCAATCCAGGTTAAGTGGCCTTAACAAGGAATGGAACCTGAGACCCTTTGGTCTGCAGGCCAACACTCTTAAGGCTGAACCAAACTGGCCAGGGCCAGAAACTAGATTAATAGTTGCCTAGGGATGGGTAGCTGAGGAATAAGGAGTGACTGAAAATGAATGTGAAGATTCTTTTTGGGGTAGAATGTTCTAAGATTGATCATGGTAATGATTACACAAATATTCATTTATGTGAATATACTCAAAACCACTGCACCTTGTAAAAGGGTTAACTGAATTATATGAATATAGTATATGAATTATAATCTCTAAGCTAGTTTTAAAAAAATCCCAGCATTTTCCTGTTAACCCAGATATGCACATGGCCCAATGAGAGCCAATGGAATTTGAACTTTTGGTGGAGCAAGCAGACAAAAGACACGATCTGTACAAGTTGAAGCTTATTGGATATCTGAACAAAAGAAGGCAGATGCAGTAAATTGGACAAGCTCAGTGACCAAGGTAACTTCACAGGATGATCTCATCATAAATTCCTAAGTCGGCAGGTAATGGTGGGTAGTTGCCCCAGGCCTATGACTTCCTTAGTAAAAGGTTTATCTTGCCTAGCTGTGTGGTTCAGTCACCCCATGGACTGAGAGGTCAGGTTCGATTCCCAGTCAGGACACATGCCTGGGTTGTGGCTCCATCGCCACTGGGGGTGTGTGTAGTAGGCAGCAGATCAACGTTTTTCTGTCACAATGTTTCTATCTCTCCCTTCCTCTCTAAAAAAAATCACTAAAAAACATTTAAAAAAAGATTTATCTTTCCCTTAAGCAAGCCCTGTCCATTGTTCTTATGCACCTAAGGCAACACACCTTTGAAATGCCAGAGTAATCTTTTCCAAACCCCTGGGAGGCATAACTACCCTCAAGGGAGCACATGATCTTTCGGTCTCTACACTGTCCCTATTTACTGTAAATGTTAACATCCTGTACCCAGCAAGGTATGTATCTCCATTTTACTTTTATCCAATCAGTGATTTCCCCCCTCCACCCCTGCTTTCTCCAGCTTCCATGATCTATTGGCCAGTGAGTTTCATGCAAACTTTTTCTTTCCAAATGCACACAAAAAACTGCAAAACTAACATTCTCCCAGAGCATTTTCTCAGTCTGTTGAGATCCGGCTTCCATGTATGTCCTCAATTAGGCTCAAATAAATTCATACAATTTTTCTATAGGTTTAGACATTCTATCAACAGATATATGCCTAGAGATACTAGGACCACCCAACAAAGGGAGTTGTTTCTATCTCACATAAATGTCCCTATCTCTCCCTTCTCTCTCTAAAAAGAAAAAAAAATTTCAATTGAAAAAAATTCTCCTTAAAAAAAAAAAAACTAGCCCAACTGGTGTGGCTCAGAGGTTGAACCAGGATATCGACAGATGGATTCCAGGTCAGGGCACATGCCCATGTTGTGGGCCAAATCCCCTGTGGGGGGCATGCAGGAGGCAGCCAATTGATTTTCTCTCAATCGATGTTTCTATCTCTCTCTTGCCCTCTTCCTTAACCTCTAACTAAGGGTAAAAACTATTTTTTGACCTTCAAACTTACTTCAAATCAATAAAATGCAAATTATAGCAGGAATCAAATGAAATTTTTAGCTAACAACCAGATAAAGTTGATCTGGTAATACAATACAATTTCTACAGTTTGAAATTTTAAGCCCAAGTTAAAATTTTTATTTACCAACACAAATTAAGTTTTGTAATTTAATACGTCTCAAGAGAACCTTAGTGACTCATTAAATCCCTGCAATCATAACTATTAGCAAATGTCTAAGACATTTACTTCAACAGGCTAACATTGCACTTCAATTTACAAGCACACTTACGGCAGTTAAGAATAAACAAGTACATAGCTGCCTCCCAACAAAACATTTAGAATTCTTCAAGGTCCACATGATTACTTCTTTCTTTACAAGGCTTAGCATAAAGTAAATTTAACTTGCATTTCTATAAACAGGGTTGGTAAACTGTTGTCTCTTTATCTCATTTAATGCTTTCTATGTCTATTTCACACAGTATGTGTCCAGTGGGGAGATGGAGAGGGATGAAAAAGACCTGGCTAGATCAAAAAAATAAATCAATCTTGAAATTCACCTTTATAAATGTCTTTTGAAATAGTAAGTCAGATCAATTCCCTAAACATTTATGTTCCTATTGGGTCCAAGACCATGATAACATAAAAGGGATGACAGCTTCATGCCTGGCTGGTGTGGCTCAGTGGATTGAGCCTCATCCCAAGGACTGAGAGGTCCTGGTTGCGAATCAGATTCCCAGTCAAGATAAATGCCTGGGTTTCACCCAGTAGGGGGTGTGCAGGAGGCAGTCAATGGATGTTTCTCTCTCACATCTGTTTCTATCTCTCTCCCTTCCTCGCTTTCTAAAAAGTATCAATTAAAAACATATTTTAAAAAAGGATGAGAGCTTTCAGCACATCACAGAATAAAGCAAAGCAAAGCTTTGGGGCAAATTTGTTGCCCTGGATGGAGAATTTAATGGAGGTAATTATCATTTCAAATAAACCTGTAGGTGAAAACCAGAGTTGTGTCTAGTACTTCCTTATAAAAACAGAGCCTACAACAGGATCTACAGTGAAAACTTCACACAAAGCTGGTGAACTCATGTAGAGCTTACTGTCTTAGGCCATAAAATACATTTCCTCTAATATGACAATAGCTAAAATTTATTGAGTACTCACCATGTGCCAGGAGCTGTTCCAAATGTGCTGTATTATGACAACAATTTTATGAGGTAGGTACTACTGTTATCCCCCTTTTACAGATCAGATAACTGAGATAGAGAAGTTAAATATTTCCTAAGGTTGTACAGACAATAAGTGATAGAGCCAAGATTTGAATGAAGTTCAGCAATTTGATTGCAAGCATCATGGTCTTAATCATTACACACAGTTTCTTAACACTTGGTTTTTATAAGATGGAAGCCCTGGAGATGATCACTTTGGCTTTATAGGTTGGTATCTCATGGAATGACTCCTCCCAGAGTTGTGCTCTGTGCTGTCTTCCACCAACACCATATGACAGAAATAATAAATAAAACAATCAAAGAAGAAACAAAGCACGTTGTGGATCATTTTAAGTAGACTTCTGCCTTAGTAACTGGGACAGTCACCTCACCATAAAAAACTGCTTGCATTATCTTACAAAGATGCACAACTGAATACTCCATACTAAGCCAACCATATTATTTCTAAGTTTTGTCATCAAATCCATTGTGCCCCATAGTTTGATTTTTAGCCAATACTGATTCAATAATAATTTTGTTCTGCCCTGGCTGGTTTGGCTCAGCGGTTAGAGTGTCGGCCTGCGGTCCAGAGAGATCCGGGTTCGGTTCCCGCTAAGGGCATGAACCTCTGTTGCAGTTTGTCCCCAGCCCTCGTTGGGTTATGTGGGCGGCGACCACTCCATGTGTCCCTTTCACTTCGATGTTTCTCTCTCTCTCTCCGCCCCTCCCTCCCAACTCTATCTGAACAAAAAATGGAAAAATGTCCTCGGGTGAGGATAAAAAAATAATAATAATTTTGTTCCATAACAGATATATTAGGCTACTTAGAGGTGAAGTCCTTACCTTTAAATATGATGTTACTCCTTCATCATTACTGTCTATGTTCCCATTTCTCTCCAAACATGTGTCCCTCCACAATATTTACTTCTCTGGTCCTAGAAATGCAAGAAACTATATAATTATTACTTAATATACAATTTATATATCACTTTCGTTTATATTACATTTATAATAAAAGCGTATGCTAACCTGTTTAATTGCTATGACACTGCTGTACTAAGTTCTGTTTGAGGTGCGTGAAAAGCATACTAATAAGTTTCTTGAAATCTGATGTATGAAAAAAAACACATAATAAAAACTAGGTCTGGCCTAGACCACCATTCAGTTTTCAAGTTAGAATTCCAATTCATGTGCCCTTCTCCCAGTCCACTACTGTCCTTTCATTCCCAAACAAAAAGTACTTTGCCCTGACCAGTGGCTCAGCTAGTTGGAGGGTCCTCCTCCCTTACACCAAAAGGTTCTGGGGTCACTCCCGGTTAGATTGTGGGTTCCATCTCCCAGCTCGGGTACGGGAGGCAACAGATGGATGATGATTCGCTCTCACATCTCTCCTCTCTCTCTCTCTCTCTCTCTGACAAATTAATTAAACATATCCTCGAGTGAGGATTATTTTTAATAAGTTATTTTCTAGCAATTTTCTTTACTAGATTAGTAAAAGAGAATCCAACTGTATAGGAAAGTACATCCACAATAAAACCTAAACATTCGTGCATGTTAATATTTGAGTAAAATTTAAATGATTTACAGCTAATATATTAAGCTCTGCAACCCGCCCAATTAAAATGCTCCCCAAGCTCCTACAACGACATCACCTGCTCTTCTCTTTACCTTTTAGACAGGCACTGGGAATACAAATAAAATGTTTGCGGTGAACCGACTCCCCGAAAGGTTGCTGCTGACCTCGGGACCGAAGGACGTGTGCCGAGGAAACCCGCGCCCCTCAAGAACGCCCCACGCCCCTCAAGAACACCCCACGCCCGCAGCTCCCGAGCATCCACAAACGCCTCTGGGCATGAGCCAGGCTGAGGAACCAAAGCATCGGCACCGACGCGTCCGAGGGCCACTTGCGGGGCATTTGTTTCGGGAGGAACAGCATAATAATGGGGGTGGGGAGGACGGGAGCGCTCGATAAATAGTAAATGCAAAACAAAAAAATAAATTTTTCACACGCCAGCGACAGAAGGTAATTAAAAACAGAAGCTGCTCTTACACCTCCCACCGAAACAATCGCCCTGCAGTTTAACCAAAGGCGTCCTCGCGGGCGCTCCCGCGACCTCCCCGGCGCACAGCGAGGCGTGAAAGGAGCACAGCCGGCGAGGCGGCGCCCTCGGGCTCCCGCGAGGCGACGGCGGGGGCCAGGGCCGCTCGGCACGGCGAGCAGGGCCGCGGGGGCACGGCCGGCCGGGCTCGGGCGGCGGCCCGCGAGGCGCGCGAGCCGGCGGGAACCCCAAGGCCGGGAGCCGCCCCAGCGCCCGCAGCCCGCGCGACTCCGTCACCGCCTCAGAACAAAAGCGCTGGGCGGACGGGCGCGCGCCCTCCCCTGCCCGCGGGCACCCGGGCTCCCCGCGCCCACTGCCTCGCCGGAGACGCGAGAAGGCGAGCGAGGGGCAGCCAGGTGCCAGGTCCCACACTTACCAACAGCACGGAACCCTGCAGGGTTACGACAGGAGAACGGGCCGGCCGCCCCGGTCCCAGAGTTTAAGTCAACTCGGGTCCGCCTTCAGGGGCGGGCCCAGCACCGAAACCCGGGCTCTGGGAACACAGGGCCCCGCCCCGAGGGGACCGAGGCAGCCGCCAGGCCGGCGCTTCCGCGGTCCTAGTGCAGCCCGGATAAGCAGCGCGGCGGCCAGCCCCGCCCTCCGGTGGGTCACGCGGCTGCTTGCAAAGCACGCGCACGGGTGGGATGGCGAAAACTTCTTCTGCGGTAGTTCTTTAATTTGCATCAGAATCACCCGTGGGGGCTCGTTACAGAGGGATTAAAGAGCACCACCTGCAAAATCACCAATTCAGTAGGTCTAAAGAGGGGTTGAAAATGTCGATTTCTAACACGTTCTCTGGCTGTTGCTGCTGGTCTCAGAACCAGGAAATCAGAGTTGGGAGGTCGGCAAACTTTCCATAAAGCTTGTGAAAGGAAAGTGCACCAAGTAGAGCGTAAGGAGTAGTTTTTGTTGTTGTTGTGTTTTTTTGTTTTTGTTTTTGTTTTTGTTTTTTATTTAGCTTCTTGCAGTAGGGAGAACGTCCATTAATGCAGAGGAACCTTCTCTAAAGAAAGGAAGTAGACCTTTATTTTATTTTTATTATTTTTTTTTTTTGGTTAGGCCTTTTTTATAGGAGGGTTTTTATAGAAGGAAGTAAACAACGGAATCCTGTATGACTAAGAATGAGAAAGGGCAGAGGTTCATCCAATATAGAGAGCAGGATATTCCTTTGCCCTTGAGATTCCATTCTTGGCTCTGCCACTCACTAGACATACAACCCTGGGAAAATCATTTAACCTGTCTGCAGTTTTTCCATCTGTAAAACAAGTATAACACCAATACTTACTTAATAGTATTGTTGAGATAGCTACATAAATTAATACACAACCTAGAGCAGATCCTAGAACATGGGCTAGTGCACTTGGCTCATATAGGAGGGTTTTTTTTCTTTTTTTTTAACCCTCATCTGAGGACATTTTTCCATTTTTTGTTCAGATAGAGTGTGAGGGAGAGAGAGAGAGGAAGAGAGGGAGAGAAAGAGAGAGAGAGAGAAGCATCAATGTGAAAGGGTCACATTGAGTGGCTGCCTCCGGGACAACCCAACCAGGGCCAGGGACAAACTTCAACCGAGGTACATGCCCTTAGCAGGAACCGAACTCTGGTCTCTCTGGACCACAGGCCGATGCCTGTGAAACCGGCCAGGGCTCATATAAGAGTTTTTACAGAACCTAAGCCATAGGAGTCAGCAAGCAGAAATGAAACCAAGTAAGAGGAAGTTTTATTGCCAGAAAGTCTAATAGAAACCCCACTCCTTTACAGCTTCAGGAAGGTATAATGCCCTACAAGATTTAATGCCTAGGAAACTTAAAGTCTGTTTGGGATAAAGTTGCTGATCTCTCTGCCTTTTATCCTTTCCTGTATTTGTGCTTCCTTCTGTCTTCTTTAGATATGTAAAGCTTGTCTGATTTTATAAAAGTGTATGATCTTTTCACTAATCCTAACATACAACTGACATTTGTGCAATGGAAAGGGAGCTATGTAATAAATCTGACAAAATCAGTGATTGAAAGTAACCTCAAAGGGTGATCTGATCATAAATTCCTAACAGGGAAGGTCAAGGTGGATAGTCACCGCCGCCCCCCCCCCCCAGGTCTATAAAAGGTTTATCTTTGCCTTAAGTGTGCTGACATGTTCATAACCCCATAATTGATGATTGGTAAATTATTGTGCTGACTTTATAGCTTCATAATTGATGATTGGAAAAGTCACTTGTTAGCTCTTAACTTCCATATTACTGCCCTAAGCCTCTTATTCCAAGAAACCAAAACTCATCACTCTTATCGGTTAAACTTGCCCTAAGCCTCTCATTCCAAGAAACCAAAACCCTCACTCCAGTCAGGTGGAACAGAATGATGGAACCATCCTAACCCACCCCAAATTGCAAACGGTCACTGAAACAAGTTTCAGAAGACCACAGCTTCCAACTAATCAAGAACTCGGGAGACCACAGGCCCAACCAATCAAAGACGACCACGTCTCCTCGGCTGAATGACCACGCCCCCAGCCCTAAATTTAAAAATCCTTAGTCTGTACAAGCCGGTTGCTACTCTCTCCTTAGAGGTAGTCCGGCAGGCTAATCCCCAATAAACCTGCACTTCTGGAGACCCTGCACCGTCTCGTTCCACCTCGTTCTTACATCACTATGTGCCCTCTAGCTGAACCTGTTTTGTAAAGAATTTAATGAACAGCATAGAGATAAAAATAACCTCAATAAATTGGAATATTTCCTGAACCAAGAAACTGTTGGGAGCCGACTACGTGTCTGATAGAGTCCACGGAGCCTGGAGGTCTTGAGTCAGAGACTCGACCTCCCCCCCAATCTCAAGGAATTAGGCTTGCATTGTGTTTGTGCAGCTCGGGGCTAACTGTGACCTAATGTATCTTGAAATACCTGAGGTAACAGACTGGGTGGGCCTGGGTGGGCCTGGATGTTCCTGGGTGGGCCTGGTACCTGAAAGGCAAACTAATTCTATACAGCATTGTTGTAGCCCTGGCCATTATATCAAGAAGATCCTATTTTCTTGTATTATTAAACTTTTGCTGTAAGGTATAAAAGGCATGTAATATAGCATATCTAGGCTGATCTCCGAAGACTGTCACAGGGGTGTTCGGAATCAGATGCCAGCCGGCTAATAAACGGCTCTTATTTGGACTTCAATTTTCTAGTGGTCTTTCTTTGACTCTGTGGCACCACAACATAAGCAATCCCTATCCATTGTTTTTATGCATGTAGGTTAACACACCTTTGAAATGCCAAAAGTAATCTTTTCCAGACCTTAGACTCTAAGGCTTAGAGTAACCATCCTTAAGGGAACACAGAATCTAGTAAACTATCCTGTAACCCAATCACAGAGATTTCCTGCCTTACTTTCTCCACCTTCATATAATGTTATTTACATTCCCTACTTAATTCCAAACATATAAAAAGAACTGCAAAACTGTCATTCTCTGGAGCATTGAGGTCTTGCTTCCTGGCATGTCACTGGGGTCTCTGCACTGTGAGATAAGGGAATCGTTTGTGTCCAGCAGGGGCAGGGGGTCTCTGTACTGTGAGATTGTTTTGACGAGCCAGCAAGACAATCAGAAATGCACAACCAAATTGTAAATAAAAGAAGCGCTGCCCTGGCATATTTGGCTCAGCGGTTGAGCATCAGCCTTCGGACCAGAAAGTCCCAGGTTCGGTTCCCGCTAGGGGCACGTACCACAAAAAAAACAAAGTGAATAAAAGAAGCGCTTTATTCACCAGCGGGCTTCAGGGGCAGACATTACCCAAATCAGCAGCCCAGATTGTTTGTTCTAGTCTGCTTTTAAAGACAGAAGCCACGTTCCCTTTTGGCTCCCCCTCAGGGAACTGGTGCAATAGTGGTTGCAAAAGCGGTTATTACAGAAGCCAAGATAAGCATTAGTCACTGAGCTCATGATTTTCAGTTCCTGATACTCAGAAACTGTCAGGGTGAGTTTATGCAAGATACATCCCTTTACATAGGTCAACCATAACCTTAGGCAAAGTTCCTTTACTTCAAGGGGTAATCAACCTATTATTCGAAAAATACTGAGGAAGGTCCACTGACGATAAAAATGGAGTCGCTTAGTCGCCTTAGCCAAGGGACCTAGATAAGAATGGAGTCGCTTAGTAATCTTAGCTCAGGGGCCTAGCTTAAGATAAGGGGATCGTCTGTGTCCGGCAGGGGCAGGGGTCTCTGTACTGTGAGATAAGGGGATCGTCTGTATCAAGCTTGCCTTCTCAATTTGTTTGGCTCAAATAAGTTCTTACAAAAATTCTCTACAGGCCTGGCCGGTGTGGCTCAGTGGTTGAGCATCAACCCATACACCAAGAGGTCGCCAGTTCGATTCCTGGTCAGAGCACATGCCCAGGTTGTGGGCCAAATCCCCAGGGGAGCGGCATACAGAGTGCGGCCAGTCGATGTTCTCTCTCATTGGTGTTACTATCCCTCCCTCCCTCCCTCTCTCTTAAATCAATAAAGAAAAAAAAAAATCCTCTACAGGTTTGGACATTCTTGTGTCAACAAATCCATCAATATAGCAGCCCTGAATTACCAGGATTGCAAAGGGAAGACACACTATTCCGGACCTGAACCAAAGCTTAATCAAGGGCTGGGCTTTATATTGCCTTCTCTTTCTGATATTTACAACTCAGTATGTCAAACAATGAACCTTGTTATCCATCTGGTCAGGCTGGGGAAAGATTCCCCTAAAAGATTAGATGACTCTGTGCTATGTCCCTGATTGAAATTATAGATCCTCTCCTTGTGCTTCCCAACAATCAAAAGGAAAGACTTTTGCCCAGGCCAGTTTGGCTCAGTGGTTGGAGCGTTGGCCTCTGGACTGAGGAGTCTCGGGTTTGATTCTGGTCAAGGGCATGTGCTTCAGTTGCGGTTCATCTCCAATCCTTGTCGGGATCGTGCAGGAGGCAGCCTGTCAATGTGTCTCTCTCGCATCAATGTTTTTCTCTCTCTCTCTTTCTCTCCCTCCCACTCTATCTGAGGATAGATAGAAAAA